ATTATTCCAACAATCCCAAATAATTACTTGGCTATTTCTGTGACAGTATTGCTGTATCATGGTTGTAAGCATACAATAAAACTCCAGCATCTGTGTGACTATATTAAGCTCAAAGCAGTTAAATATGAAAACTTATTTCTCAACCCATAGTATGTTTCTATTTCAATTTTTTAAGGGTTATAAATATTACAATATGGAGTATGGAGTAAAGGACAGCAGGTTTTAGGGGTAGAGAGTGCAAATGTAAAGTCATTCTGATGAAAGGCAAAATCAAAAGGCATGGTAAATCATTTGTGTTAAGAACATTCTAGTGATCATCTTACTTTTTCAAACTAATTACAGTTACGTTGTCCCACTTCTCAAGAATTAGAGAAGGTTACTACAGTATCATAGGCATATAATTCAAGCCTCATCAAGTGGATCTTTGCTCTGTAGTTGACTTCTTGAAACAGGAGACACTTTATGCACTTGCTTTAGGGAAAACACCAATATTTCTGTGTATCCTGCAGAAGCTGAGATCTTTCTGGAAGGAGTACACAGGATATTTTCACCCAACCTGTAGGGGGAAAGATGAAGAAAATAATAATAGTTAGAATGTGGTTTCTGTGGTATGCAGCCATGAAAGATCGGCCTGTTGTTTCTTGCAAAAGTCAGTTTCTGAAATATGACAGTTTGACTAATATATGTAACTCTGCCTGCATGTGCAGGAATACATCTAGAGAATAAAGACATCGCCACAATCAGGAGTCGAATTCTGTGATCGTAATCAATAGGGAAAATAAATATTGAAAATTACTTTTTTTTTAACCCATTCTTTCTTCCCCTGAATGTCACTGACGACAACAGGAACTCAAAGAAAACTCCTCAGAGCCGCAGGTAACACACACACACAGTCAACTGAGGGTAAATTTTGCACGTTTTTAATTAATATACTGTAGATAATCTAAAGCTGTGTCTTGGTTATTAGTAAGGTATAATATCTTCAACTACTTATATACTGTGCCCTCAAAAGTGTGATGAAAAAGTACATACAGTTCTTCTGAGTGTGTAGCAGAACAGTAGACAAGTTATGGGACATATTAGCATATTAAAATTGCATCAACGATTTTGGGACAACAATATTGCACAACAGACCACCGTTTCACATTATGTACATCCTGCAATCATCCTCACAGTAAACATCCTCATCTCCACATTAAACTTAATTTACCCTATTCATTTGTCTACAAGAGAAAGGAAGTAGATGTGGCATTTGTGGACCAGACTCATCTGCTTCGCTATTGGGATGTTCATGTTGTATTATTTGTGAAAAGATGACTAGAGTCCTGGATCAGCTTCAACACATGCGGTTCTCCTTTTATTCTGTTATCCCTTTGCATACACTGCATCACATCCTATAACCAAATATCTGCTGCCGGAGTCACAGAGTGGTTTCTGGAAGAATCGGAGAACTGTGGACATGATCATTTCACAGTGAGACAGCTTCAAGAAAAATGCCATGAACAGCATCAGGACCTTTTCATGGCTTTTGTCGATCTCTCCAAAGCTTTCGAGACAGTGACAGCTGCTCTAGGAGATTCTAACAAAATTTGGTTGTCCAAAAAAATTCTGTAACATTTTGTCACAGTTCCATGAAGGAATGGTGGCTCTTGTGACCATAGGTGGTCAGCAGTCAGAGCCTTTTAGAGTACGCACTGGAGTAAGGCAAGGATGTGTATTGGAACCTGTACTTTTTAACATCTACCTCCTATGTGTCACAAAGCTCCTGCATGATAAACTTGAAAGCAGCAGTGGGATCAGGTTGGATGGAAACCTCTTTAATATTCGTAGGTTCCAGGCCTCCACCAAGGTCTCAGCAATGCAGGTTCTTGAGTTGCAGTATGCCGATGACTGTGTGCTTTTGACACATACACCAGAAGACATGCAAATTATCCTTGCTGCTGCTGTGAAGACATTTAGCAGATTGGGTTTGTCAGTCAATACTACTAAAACAAGTGAGATGTCAATGCAGGCTCTGTCCTCCATCTACTGTGCCTGTTTTACCATAGTAAAACAACCACTTACAATAGTATCTGGGCAGCATTGTATCAGAGGACTGCAATCTCGATGACGAAATTGAAAATCGGATAAAGCAAGCCTCTGTAGCCTTTGGCAGATTTCGACGTAAGGTCTTTCAAAATAAGCACCTTGAACTGCTTACTAAAGTTAACATCTATAAAGCTGTCTGTATCACCTCTCTTCTTTACAGCTGTGAAGCCTGGGTTATATATAGCCGCCACCTAAAGTTGCTGGAGCATTTCCATATAGGATGTTTGCAGCAAATTTAGCTGATTACATGCTATGACTGTGTACCCCACTTTGAAGTGCTTGATAGGACAAACTGTAAGAGCATGGAAGCCATGATCACTGAACATCAATTACGCTAGGCACATTATTAGGCTGCCTCAAGATCAACGTCTAATCCTCTATGGTCAGCTCCATCAGGGCTGCCGTTCTTCAGGAGGTCAGAAGAAACGATATAAAGACCAACTGAAAACATCACTAAAGAAGTGTCTAATGAATCCCTCATGCCTGGAAGAATTAGCAGCATACCGCACCATCTGGAGGCACGCGGGAATAGTGCAGCTGGAATCAGAGAGAAATAAAGGAAACAACAAAAAAGACTAAGGAGACACACAACCATGCCTGCCCCTACAAATTCGGACTTAATTTGCCCAACCTGCAATAAAATCTGTGGATCAAGGATACACTGTAAAAAAAATCCTGTAAAATTTACAGTAGAAAAATGGCAGCTGTGCTTGCTGGAATTTTACCGTAAAAAATATGGTAGCAACATTTTAGGTTTTACGGTTTTAACTTAGCTGATATAATGTTAATATGTTGTTGTTCGTCCTTCGCTGGCGAAGATGACCACGACTTCTTCGAATCACTGGATGTTGTGGGTGCGAAGATAGCTAATGAGTCCAATCCTCGCTCTGAAAGTTCGATTGCAAAATGGACAGGCGAATGCTGGAGCCGAGTTTGCCAGAGATACGGTGCCGAGTCTGCTCTTGCTATGCTGGCGCTTCTGCTGCTGTTCTTCTATGCAACTTATCTCATACCCCGACACCCCAGATCTGACCAAGGTGCGCCAGGCAGAGCACTCTTGTGCAAGATCTTCCCAGGAGTCGGGACTGATGTTGCAGCATTTCAAGGATGCCTTCGAGCAATCTTTGTAGCGCTTTCTTTGTCCCCCTTGGGAGCGCTTGCCCTCCTTCAGCTCTCCATAAAGGAGACGTTTTGGTAGGCGTTCGTCAGACATGCGACAGACATGACCTGCCCATCTGAGCTGGGAGTGCTTGAGCATGGCGAAGACGCTCTCCATCTCTGCTCTCGGGAGTACCTCTGTGTCAGGAATTTTATCCTGCCATTTGATGTGCATGATGTTTCTGAGGCAGCGCATGTGAAAAGAATTGAGCTGTTTGGCATGCCGACTGTACACTGTCCAGGTTTCACTGGCGTACAGTAGGGAGGGCAGGACAACTGTGCGATATACTTTGAGCATGGTCTTCACGCTAATACCTCTTCTTTCCCATACTCTGTCATAAAGCCTGCCGAAAGCAGAACTTGCCCTGGATATCTGATAATTGACTTCCTCATCAATGCTGACATGACGGGACAGTGTACTGCCAAGGTAGATAAATTTGTCCGCCACTTTAAGTTCCTCGCCGTTGACTATGATGGTTGGTTCAGGGTATGGTGTTGCAGGGGCTTGCTGAAAAAGTACTTTGGTCTTTGTGCTTATTGTAAGTCCAAAGTCATCACAGGCTATGGAGAACTGATCCTTGCTCCTCTGCATGTCCAACTGAGTGCTGGCATTTAATGCACAGTCCTCAGTGAAGAGAAAGTCATGGGCGGTGGCTTCCTGCACTTTTGTTTTGGCTCCGCAAGTTAAACAACTTTCCATTGGTACGGTATCTGATACCGACGCCAATGTCATCGTCGTGAAATGCTTCTGTCAGCATAGCTGAGAACATCATACTGAAGAGAGTGGGGGCAAGGACACATCCCTGTTTGACACCATTTGTTACTGGGAATGGCTCAGAGTATACATCGCCATCCTGTACGCTTGCCTGCATGCCGCCATGGAACTGCCTAACTGAGAACATCATACTGAAGAGAGTGGGGGCAAGGACACATCCCTGTTTGACACCATTTGTTACTGGGAATGGCTCAGAGTATACATCGCCATCCTGTACGCTTGCCTGCATGCCATCATGGAACTGCCTAACCATTGCGATGAACTTGCCAGGGCAGCCGAACTTGGACATGATCTTCCAAAGTCCTTCTCTGGAGACAGTATCAAAAGCTTTTGTCAGGTCCACAAAAGTGGTGTAAAAGCCAACGTTCTGCTCCTGGCACTTCTCTTGCAGTTGACTTGCAGCAAAGATCATATCTACCACGCCCCTGCCGGAACCCGCACTGACTCTCAGGTAGCATGCCACGCTTCAGATGTTGGTTTAAGCGGTACACTTATAAAGATGAACGATGGAGGCATCCTTGAGCTCCTGTGGGACTTTCTCTTGGTTCCACATGGATTGGAATAACTCAGAAATCTTCCTGTTCAAATGTGGACCGCCAGAGGTGTAGATTTCCACTGGAATGGAGTCAGCCCCTGGTGCTTTGCCACTAGACAGACATTTAACTGCTTCTTCCACCTCAACTGCAGTAGGGGGGTCGGCAAGTGAGTGATCTATTGCAGCTTGCGGCAGACGGGCAATCGCTGCGTCATTGATGGAGGACGGGCGGTTAAGAACACTATTAAAGTGTTCTGCCCAGCGCTGAAGCACTTCTTCCTTGCCTGTTATCAGTGTGTTCCCATCTGCACTGAGGAGGGTAGACAATCCTGAAGAAGTGGGACTGTAGACAGCCTTGAGTGCGCTGTAGAAGTTCTTTATGTCCTTACGATCAGCAAAAGCCTGGATCTCGTCAGCTTTCTCACTCAGCCAATCATCCTGCATTCATCGCAGTTCAAGTTGGACGGTTCTTCTGATGTTGTTGAAAGCATCTTTCTTGGGTGCAGAGGACGGATCATTAGGGTATGATCTGTGAAGTCGATGTTTTTCATCTAGCAAAGATTGAATGCGCTCATTGTTGTCATCAAACCAAACCTGGTGCTTCCGTGTGGTGGTACCCAACACTTCCTTGGCAGTGGCATAGACCGCGTCTCTAAATGTAATCCAGTCTGAGTCAACATCGTGCAAGTCTAAATTCAAAGGTTCCAACTTGCTATCCAGCTCTTCTGCCAGTGACTGCTTAACCTGGGCACACTTCAGCTTAGAGACATTCAGTCTCATTGGAACCTTCTTCCCCTGTGGCCGTCTTGGAGGCTGAATTCTGATGTTAAGCTTGGAGATCAGCAGCTGGTGATCGATCCAGAATTCTGCACCACACATTGCTTTAGTTACTTTGACGTTTTGCCTGTCTCTTTGCCTGATAATAACGTAGTCTAGTAGGTGCCAGTGCTTTGAGCGAGGATGCACCCATGACGTCTTATTCAGGTTTGGAAGGTGGAAAACGGTGTTGGTGATTAGAAGCTGATGTGCGGCGCAGATTTAGCGTAACAGTAGACCATTACTGTTGCAGCTGCCAATGCCGTTGTTCCCTAGGACTCCTTCCCAT